ATTAAAAAAAATTATTGTCTACGAAGTAGAAAGTTACAGTATCTAGTTTTAAATTCATTCATGAACTTAGTTAAGCTTTTGTCATTAATTTTAACATGTAAACGTTCCATAAACAATTGTTTTACTGCATGGTAAGAATAAACTGAATAAATATGATTATACTAAATAGCAATTAAAAATTTTCAATGCTTAACATTATTACTAATCACGTTAATATTTACTTTGCCGTTCCATGACAGGATTATCTAAAAGAACCAATAAATTACAGCCCCAAATAACACTAGATTTTTGAAGAAATCAGCAGATACTGATGAGAAGTTGAGAGCAATGACACTTGGTCATGTGATATTAAGAAACACAAGTCATCCAATACTTTACTTGCAAAACTAGACCTTATTCATAAGGTGTATTATGTGAACAGTGTGCATCATTTATGAATAATTTACAAATCAATGTAAAGTCCATTACCAATATATACTGAACATACTTTAACTATCGGTGTACTCTCTCTTAAAACTTGTACATGGCAAAACCTAGAACAATTCAATAATTAGCAGTGCAAATTTGATAAATCAAAATCATAAGTAATCGTTACACCTAATTGTGTAATGCAAATTGGAGGGGGGTTGCTGCAGATTTATCTCGTACATCAGTGCTAGTTGAACAAGTTGCAATATGTAGTGTGTAATGGAAATAATTGGTTATCTTAAAACATCCCTTCGTGTGTTTTGCCTCTTTACCTCAAGCTCATCTTCATCATGATGAGTAACCTTTCAACTATCCTTGCTACATATACATAGTAAATTGAGAAAAACTTCTTAATTATCAAAGCATGCATATACTATCAAGACAAAAATAAAAACCACCCAACACTCCTTTTAAACTATAATTGGGATTTCGTGCACAGAGAACCATCACTAATTAGCAATTCGTGGGCCCACCCTTCACATTACTACCATAAGGTGCCAGCGCCAGTTCTACACAGGGTTTGCAAACCCAACTCAAGGTCCAGGCCACCAAAGCATGCTCAGGAATCAAAGGTGGGAAGTGGTCACTCAGAAAGTAGTATTTCACAGGAATCTACTACATCATCAAGGGCCCAAGACTTGAAGACTTTTATACAAAACAGGCATAACTTGCCAACCTCTCTCAGTGTTCAAGACAACTTTATTAAAACATCTCCAAAGAATATCTGATCAACCAGGATGCAATTCATACGTCAGGCTGCGAACAGTTGCATCCAACAGCCTGATTAACCAGACCAACGCCCAGGAGGCTTGGTCAGAAACTGGACCACAGGGTGGTTGATCACCTGAACCGATAACAGGTAGATAAACAGCCAATTTCTACGCAAGGCCTTACACTATGGAACAAGTTAACAGTCACTCAATCCAGCACCATGAACAGGTGAACATAACCAAAGGTGACAAACATCAACACAAGTCAGCATAACGATGCAGCCCGAGGCTACATGGCATTACGGGATATTGCCGAGAAGAATGCGGTCAGGTAAACTTCAAGACAGTGTGTACAAGGGTAGTACGAGACCGAGAGAATTTCACCCATTTACACTACAAGGAAAGCTTTAGTAAGTACACAAGGAAATGGTACAAAGGATCAAACAGAGATCAGATCATCGAGAAGGACTATTCTGCACATAATGATGCAGTTCTACCACACGAGACATTATTTGACCAAAAAAAATAAAATACAAAATAAAATAATTTGTTCAACAAGTGCCAAATCCAGATATAATGCTTAGTCTGATGAAATAAACTTCTACTGGTATCAAATGTACAAGACAAGTTAAAAGAAATCCAAAGACCTCTCTCAGATCCAACCTTAGAAAAACAAGAATATTTTTAAAGGGTACTGTACCTATTTTGATGGAGGCAACTATAAAATGGGGAAGGGCGAGTCACTTAGAAAATCATTGCATACCAATGAAAAACAACAAAAAAATGGCTCGGCCAATTGTAAAGAAGGAAAAGTAGAATGGTATTTATTACTTCCATAACCGATTGATCAAAATCAAAGACATCCCTCAGTCCTTATGATATCCATAGTTTGATAAAATGAATGTTATATATAATCTTTTAAACCAAAAAAAAAAAAAAAAACTTTTCTTGCGTGCATTTTATAATATGGACATAAAAACATGAAAGGAATGTGTGGATGGTTGTGGTGTGTGGGGATGAGCATATGGTTGCTAGCAGTGTGGCTGATGGGTATTTTTAAACTAATGATAGCCTTTTCTACCCAATGTTGTCCCATGTTCTTACAAAGTTGTGGATTGAGATGATTTCATTACATCTTCACTCAGCATATTGCAATATTTCCTTGCCCAACTTTCATTTTAAACGGACTACTTGTCCGTGTTCATTTCCCTCAATAGCTATCACTTTGAAATTATATTGCCCCCATTGACTAGATTTGCTACCCTGTCATCATAGTATAGTCCATGTAATTCAGATAAAAGCCTAGTTACAAATTTCTACTTATCTTCAAGTTTACTTTTGTATCAAGATATAAATTTCATGCGGGCGCTGTGCATTCGAGCACATACTGGTCTAACACAAGCAGTATAAATTGTCTTGAACGTGTTTGTGTAGATTCTTAAATGAAGCTCCAATATTTGCCAGCTTCCTATGTGCATCTTGTGTTACTCTATCATAATGAACTGCTGGTTGAAGTGCTGGGATTACATTCACTCTCGGCTTTTCTCATTTAAATTCCAGGTAATTGCCCCTAAGATATTTTTTTTCATCCTTATCTTCATTATCTTGCCCTTGAGATTGAATTCTGGGAGTCTCCCAGTTATACCCTATTCCGTTTTTTTTTTCTCTTGCCTTCCACTTTTTGTCTCGGGCTTTACAATGCCTTTGGAAACTGAGAAATCTTGCCGTTCATCAAATTTTGACCCCCCGCTGTTCCATAGATTTCTAAACACTTCCTTGCAATAAATTCCACCATTTAATTAGGTATTTATGAATTCAGGTCATTTACCTGTATTATTTTTCACAGACCCTTGCCCTTCTGCAATTTACCCTCTTAACCCATTCCCATCTTATCCTGGCTAACAGTGGAATATGCACTCTCGATCTCTGCCGTACTCTCACTAAACATTAAGATAATAGGAATAGAGGAATTGCAGAAATCTCATTAAATTAAAAGATCCTTTTTGCCCTCTTTAGCATCTGTCCATTGTTTACTTGCTGTAATTATCAGCTACATCCAGGAATCTTTACCCAATGAGATCCTCATTATGAAATTATCTCCTTGCTACTGTGCTGGCTTTTCAATACGTTTACAATTTAATGTATTCTTTTCAGAGTATCCTAAAATTTCCTCCAGCAAATTAAAAGTAAAAATATCGTATCTTCATTGTTCCCATGTCAACCACGCAGTATTCACCTAGTTAGAAGGGTGACTACTGCATGAGTGACATGGGAACAATGAAGATAAGATATTTTGACTTATAATTTCCTCCAGTGTGTAGATTCACTGGTGGCAAGTGAATGTGGAAAGGGTAAGTTAAGAGCCAACCACAGCAGAGGCTTCATTTTATGGTCCTATATGTGATTAATGTTTAAGACAATACAACGAGGATCTCAAAATAATGTATAAAAAAAAAAGCTAATACATTGCTTAATTTCAACAGCAGCTATACTTTCTGGTATCAAGTACATTTGAAGTTACAAATCAATGAGTCTTAAGACGCATACGAAATATCTAAGAAAACACAAATAGGTAGAACAACAACAGTATCTCTACCAGGGATATTAAGGTCTTTGCTTTAAACTTAGTCCAAAAGCACTGTGCATACCATGAGTTTTTGCAATAATCATCATATACTAAAATTCTTCCAACAATTCTTCGATATTTCGTACATACACACCATTTTTGCATAAATAAATGACTACTGTTATTATTATTATTAAGGTAAAACTGTAAGGTATCCCCCCTGATAGGGATACCTAGAATAAACAAATATAAAAAAAGTTTAGTTAGAGAACAATTAAAATTGAAGTCATACATGGGACCATAAACCATTGAATTTATTAAAAAGTTTAAATACAAAATCAAGAGCCATAAAGATATTCAAGAGAAGTCAATAATACAAACGCAAAATTGACCTGCAATTTAATATTAGTTATAAAAAAAATTCATTAGTAAGAGAAAGTTTGGAAGCAAGTTTTGTTTATCCTCTTAAATTCATTTCGTTTTACTAGTATTGCAGGCACCCTCTTTCCAAACTGGACATGGCGTCTACTTAATCTTGTAGAAAGCTTCCTTTACAAGAATGTATACAAATTATGACATTTACCAAAGGTACAAAAACACATTAACAATTGTATCGTGATGTACAAGCCACCACAATGAAAATAAAACTTGATCAGAGGAAACTAGAGGGGCTTTGCTAGCTCCTCTACACACACACACACACACACATCCACACAAGAGGATGAGGGTGCAGGACTCATTCTTCAGAAGTCATTGTGCTCCACCCTCTGTCACACAAAGGTTATATATTAATTACAATAAAGATGTGTCAATGTAAGAGAAACCCCATTTCTTGTGGAGATGACCTGCATATCGAAAGTAGTACAGTTTGTCAATGAGGCACTGTGTTAAGAGATCTGTCGATTATTATTGGTAATCATAAGACATCGTCTTCTCCATGCAAGGACATGTAAATGGTAAGATTATGCAGAGGAAATAATACACCTGGAAAATGCTTAAAAAAAAAAAAGGAAAATGAACTTAAAATTTAGTCATGTACATGAATATTGGAATTTTGTCCATGATCATAATAGACAAAGGACCAAGGATAATGGCAACACACGCAATACACATACATAATACCAAACCTCAAATGTGACATTTCTTCAGAGGAGCCAGTTGGAAATGGAAGAGTACCTGGAGCATGTGAATTCTGGACAAAACATACCCATATGAGAGAAATCAGATCAACTGTAATGTTGTCATCAAAGACTGACCTTGGAAGCTTTGATTTGGGCTTCAATCTTGTCAGCTTCTGTATGCATTCCTTGTGACCGGTAGTACTCAATCCACTGTTGAGAATAATCTTGAGCACCAGTGCCACCTCCAACGCCACCTCCTGGGGTTGCTGCCTGCACACCTCCACCCTAGAGCATCAATAAAACAAGAAGATTAAGAAGTGCCCCTTGATACTATATTTCACTGGCAAGAGGTACAAGTACTTATGCTTAAAAGAATCAAGTCTGTTAACCTAGGGTTCCCAAATCAAACTTATTGATATCCCCTTTTAAACAAACTTTATTAACTTCTACATATTACTAATGCTCCAGAGTGGCAGATTGGCTGTTTGGATAGGATTTTTTTGTTTTTTGTTTTGTTTTGTCAGTAAAAATGTGTTCATACCTGTTGTGGTGCTGCATTTGGGCCTGGTCCAGCCACTTTCATTCCTTTAGCTTGTTGTTCAATAGCCTCGGCCTCTCTGTGCATCCCCATACTTCGATAGTAGTCTGCCCACTGTGCTGAATAGTCCGGCTGACCACCTGCACAAACAGAATAAGAATGCATGAGGTGAGGTGATTTTGACCGAGTTGTTTTTCATATAAAGTTTAAACAAGAGAAAAATGGCAAAGTGAAGATTTATAAAGGTAAGGCAAGATCTAAAAACCAATAAACACAATATGAAAAGAATCGGCATTACAAGGACAATATATGAAAAATTACCACCAATTCATAATCGGTCAACTTGAAAATACTTAGGAGAAAACCCTCGGGGACTATCTCTCTAGAAAGATGTGCACGTTTGGCCCATAACAAGAGCCAAACATACAACCCCACCCCCCTCCAAAATAGTTAAAATTAATTTTGTTTCTATTTGAATCTATTTAATGCAATGGTATGCCACATGAAAAAAAACTGTCTGAATGAAATTAAAAGAAATATACTGACTTTACATTTTAGTCAACAGAAAATTAGTCGATCAGAAAATTATCCACCCGTATGGTATGTTAATTTTACGAGAGGAAAGGGGGGTTGTTGTGAATTATTACCCAGCTTACTTTTAGTCCTAAGATTTTTAAAACAGTATACTTGAACTAGGAACATAAGTGAATCTCGTAAAAATTATGGCATACCCTACAGAAGAAAAAAACACTAAGTTAATTTGACAAAGCACCTACCAGCTTGAGGTCCTGAGGGAGGCTGGCTGGCATTAGGCTGCGGCTGGCTGGACGGTGGGCCACTATTCTGGGTATTTTGGTTCTGCTGTCCACCGTAGTACTGAGAATAGTACGCTGCCCAAGCTGCAGCATTAGCATCAGCAGCTTGTTTTGCTGCAATAACATGATATATAATTTGCACAGCACTGGTGCACACCCATATTCAACTCAAACTGACTGGTGTCACATGCTGTGCACATAGCCTACTCAACTTTCAACTTACTTTTTGAGTAGAACTACATTACTCTCAGTTCTTGCACCTCATACTTTGTTCTGCTCTCCACCAATGTCTGCCATGCCTCAATAACCCTACCATTTAACTACACTGGCTTCAATAATCAACCAAATATACCTATATTTGAGAACTCGACTGAAAATGCAAGAGGGAAGAGAAATGGTGCAAAAAGGCAGAATAGAAATTCAAGGAAAGTGGGGGGAAATGATAAAAAAAAAGGGGGGGGGGGAGATTAAGAAAGAAAGGGGAGGAGAGGAAAGAAGGGGAAGGAGGGGTGAGGGAGAATTAAAGCGAGGGAGAAAGAAGCCAATTATCACAAGTGCAACCTGCCATTACGACTATATAAAACTGCAGGAATAAGGATTTTTGATAGGACACATGGAAGAAGGATGGTGCCCAAGCACTTGGAAGCAGACCGACTCTTATCATCCAATGCAAATGCTTGTGCAGGGTGAGAGAATGGGAGCGAGAGAAATGGAAGAGAAAGAAAGCGAGAGAAGAGGGGGGGAGGGAGAAAGGGGGGAGAGCGAGAGAAAGGGGGAAAGAGAAAGGGGGGAAAGAGAAAGAAAAATTGAAAGAAAAAGAGAAAGAAAGAGAAAAAGATAAAGAGAAAGAGAAAAAGAAAACGAGAGAAAGAAAAAGAGAAAGAGCGCATGCGAGAGAGCGAGAGAGAGGTGCAGAGAACGGTAGAGAGGAGCGGAGAAAACGGCAGAGAGAGGAGCGGAGAAAACGGCAGAGAGAGGAGCGGAGAGAACGGCAGAGAGGAGCGGAGAGAACGGCAGAGAGAAGAGCGGAGAGAACGGCCGAGAGAAGAGCGGAGAGAACGGCCGAGAGAAGAGCGGAGAGAACGGCAGAGAAGAGTGGAGAGAACGGCGGAGAAAAGAGCGGAGAGAACGGCGGAGAGAACGGCGGAGAGAAGGGCGGAGAGAACGGCGGAGAGAACGGCGGAGAGAAGGGCGGAGAGAACGGCAGAGAGAAGAGCGGAGAGAACGGCAGAGAGAAGAGCGGAGAGAACAGCAGAGAGAAGAGCGGAGAGAACAGCAGAGAGAAGAGCGGAGAGAACAGCAGAGAGAAGAGCGGAGAACAGCAGAGAGAAGAGCGGAGAGAACAGCAGAGAGAAGAGCGGAGAGAACAGCAGAGAGAAGAGCGGAGAGAACAGCAGAGAGAAGAGCGGAGAGAACAGCAGAGAGAAGAGCGGAGAGAACAGCAGAGAGAAGAGCGGAGAGAACAGCAGAGAGAAGAGCGGAGAGAACAGCAGAGAGAAGAGCGGAGAGAACAGCAGAGAGAAGAGCGGAGAGAACAGCAGAGAGAACAGCGGAGAGAAGAGCGGAGAGAAGAGCGGAGAGAAGAGCGGAGAGAAGAGCGGAGAGAAGAGCGGAGAGAAGAGCGGAGAGAACAGCAGAGAGAAGAGCGGAGAGAACAGCAGAGAGAAGAGCGGAGAGAACAGCAGAGAGAAGAGCGGAGAGAACAGCAGAGAGAAGAGCGGAGAGAACAGCAGAGAGAAGAGCGGAGAGAACAGCAGAGAGAAGAGCGGAGAGAACAGCAGAGAGAAGAGCGGAGAGAACAGCAGAGAGAAGAGCGGAGAGAACAGCAGAGAGAAGAGCGGAGAGAACAGCAGAGTGAAAAGGGGAGAGACGAGCAGAGAAAAGGGGAGAGACGAGCAGAGAAAAGGGGAGAGACGAGCAGAGAAAAGGGGAGAGACGAGCAGAGAAAAGGGGAGAGACGAGCAGAGAAAAGGGGAGAGACGAGCAGAGAAAAGGGGAGAGACGAGCAGAGAAAAGGGGAGAGACGAGCAGAGAAAAGGGGAGAGACGAGCAGAGAAAAGGGGAGAGACGAGCAGAGAAAAGGGGAGAGACGAGCAGAGAAAAGGGGAGAGACGAGCAGAGAAAAGGGGGAGACGAGCAGAGAAAAGGGGAGAGACGAGCAGAGAAAAGGGGAGAGACGAGCAGAGAAAAGAGGAGAGACGAGCAGAGAAAAGAGGGAAAGAGCAGAGAAAAGGGGAAAAAGCAGAGAAAAGAAAAATACAGCAAAGGGGGAGAAAAGGATAATATGCAGAGAAAGGAAATGAAAAAATAGAAAGTGGGGTGTAGATCTGCATTAGAAAAGACTTTGAAAGAAGAAAAAATAGGAGACGCTGAAATAAAAGAGGAACAAGATTTAAAGGAATAAAAATGAGTAAATTTAAAGAGGAAAACAGAAAAAAAAATGACAAGAATTGAAAGAGGAACACCGAGAATAAAAAAAAAAATGAAATCAAGATATTCAAGAAAAGGCTTTCTAGTAATCCTCTCCTTTTATACAACTGTAATTTTATATTACACCTAATACTTTACCATTACACTGCCAGATTAAATCAATTTTTATTCCCATCTCACTTAGAAAGAGACCCACAGTCTTGAAACCCACTGCATAAACTGTGCCCACAACAAGGAAAGGAAAGGAAATTTGGGAAGCCAGCAGCAAAGGAGCCTTGATCACTAAAGGAATTAGAAACTACTCCCCTTCTAATAACAACCGAAAATTGTATACAACGTATACAATTTAATATACAAAAATTGTATACAATGTATACAATTTTTACAATTATACATATATTGTATACAAAATTGTATACTACAGGAGTGACCCACATCCCCAAAACTTCGCTAATAATAAGAGGCTGTAGATGTGAAAGCCAAGGATATGGAGGAGCTTTTTAACAAGCAGCTATGGCCAGGAAGATCTTGCACAAGCCCATCATGCAAATGAGGATAAGACACTGTAGGAAATCTGACACGAGAAGGAAGGACCAACCACAATAATTCTTTACCTGCCAAGGTTAGGGACTGCAAAAACCAATAACGCTCTAGCTCACATACAAATCGATGATGCAGATGCAAATGAATGCAACACAGCCAAGATATACATTCAGAAGGGACAAATGATACTTAGGTGAGAGGGACCTAGAACCTAATGTATGTCGGGGACAAAATGAAATATTCTTTTGTGAACTAAGTACACTGAGGGACACGCACACAGAAAAACAGCTAATTCAGGCTCAAAACTGAATCAGTTAACACGAATGCTTTTATTAATTAAATTTTGTAAATTTAATAATTAATTTTAATAATTAAATTATTAATTATAATTAAATTTTGTAAAACTATTAGGCAATTTATGCTTGATTAATTTATAGTTATCTTTGATGAAAGGCAGAATGATACATTAAAGAGCCACAGCCTATGGGGTTAATCCGGACAATTCTTGCTGTAATCCTACGCAAATTTTCAATGCTGGTATTGCATATTCTTGCTCATTTGAATTTGATTATATAAATCACTTTCAATCCTTGTATAAGTTTTCATCTCTTATATTTGCCAGTATTCACAGACACTCAAACCTTGACATGAGAAATACAATCCCTCAAAAATGTCATTTATATACAACAAGAGTAAAGAAAAAGCCTTGAGAGCCCTGTTTTTTCTTCAAGTGGGACTAACTTGAAAAATTTAGGTGGAAATATCTATAGTAAAAAAAAAAAATTATTGGCTCCTATATAAATTTTTATAAACAGTACAGACCCTCAATTACTCCCAAAAACTACCCAAATCACTTGGACTGAAAGGTAGTGACAGTCACATCTCATGCAGGTCGCCCTTCAATCCTCGACCATCCCAGTTGTTGGGCACCATTCCCTCCCCCCTGACCCATCCCAAATCCTTACTCTGATCCCTTCCAAGTGCTCTATAGTTGTAATGGCCTGGCACCTTTTCCTGATGGTTCCCTTCCCAAAAACTAGATCCTACTGGTTAGGATCTGGCACAATCAACTTGGGTTGGTGTATCGTACAGAAAAGTATTGAATTAGTAACTATTAGTTGAACTATCCCTGCCAGGCGATACCAATGCCAGACAACAATGAGCATTATTCAATCCATCCCAGACTGTTGACGTATGTGCATACCACAAATCTCCCAAAGCTTTTCCATGTACAACTTAGCATCCAAGACATCACTAGCCTGCAGCCATAATCAACAAACTATTTCACTTCTTTATGCCTAGGTCACAGTAGGCTGATGTCATCAGGTGGCAGCACCAACACCACCACAAAGACCCTGTGGAGTCCAGCACAAACTTCCCACGTTGTACCTCAATTCCAACTCCAAGGAAAATGGAGACGGGAATAGACGGGCAAGAACATGTGCAATCCAGTGCTCTAAGAACATAAGACTACAGAAAACTGCAGAAAACCTATCGAGACACTCCTTCATTCGGCAACAAAGCGATCCCCTCAACTTTTCCCTTATAAATTCAGCCAATGCTAGCCACATCCTTCCAGCATGTTAATTTTTCACTTATTTTCCCCCTCTATCTTGGCATCAGGTATCCCAATGTTTGGTGGTGCTTTCTCCGTGAACCAACGTATTCAAATCGGATATTACCGACATCATAGTATAGTACAAGGAAAGCTGGGCAGTCTCTTTGATGTCAATTTTAGTCTTGTATAGCTTTTCAGCTTTACGTAAAACATTTTTTCTACCTACTTCCTGGGTTGGATTGAATATGAAAATTTATTCATCTGCTGATACAGAATGTCATGCTGGTATGAATGACTATGCCAGATCCTTACCAGACGTTTTAATGGCAGTGTAAAGATTAAATATTTAGGTGAAATATTCTTCCCTATCATTATACAACTGTAACAACTTTCACTGTTCTAAACATTTGCCTTACCATGTCCAAATTTGCATCTCATATCTCCACCATACAGACTTATAGGATACATAAATAATAAAACTGAATACCCACCAACTCCCTATCTCCCTCACTTGAAAGTAACTTTGAACTAAAGGTTGAGCTAATATGTTTCAATAATCAATTTCAACAAGTCTGACTGAGAATGCAGAATTTAAAGCCAAATACAAGATTACTTACTTTACTTATAGAAACAATAAAATGCTGATACTTACTTGGATCGTTTGGATGTCCTTGATTCCACTGTTGGTACGCATTACCCCATCCCTGCGGTGCAAGATTACTGGTACCATTTTGTCCTGGACCACCACCACCCTGTCAAGTAGTCACAAGCCAAATTAACAACAATTTGAAATGGAATGTTATTAAATTACAAGATATTACCTAAAAATTAATATTTCAATTTAAAAATACATAAAAAGCTGATGACAGTCTTGGAGCAAGAGACTATGAGCAAACCTGGGTGATAAGTGGGACATATATTCATGTTAAAAATCCAAGAAAAGATACAAAGCTGAGGTAGTGCACCTGGTGAAACTACCAGCTAATAAGAACAAGTTTTTGTGGAAACAGAAAGGGGACATGAAAATAATTTGGACAGTAGTGAAAAGTTGTGAAATTATTGAAACATTAGCAGGTAATTGTCAACAGAAGGCACCAAGCCGGAGAGACTATGTAACACAAAAGCGAAAACTAGATACATGTTGATTGTAGCCAGGCAATTGCGTATCAGAAGACAAGTGATGTTCTTAGCTCAAGTAAAGCAATAAGAACAGAGAGGAAAATACAGCCAGAAGTTGATGGTGGTGGTAGCACATATCCTACTTCGTCACACCCCTAACTGATGCCTCCTACTACTACCCTCTCAATGATTCATTCAATATGACCCAGCCATTGCTGTATGCTATCCTCATGCTTATGAGTTTAACATCTTTTCTCTCATCTTGTAATAATATATTTATATCTTTACTAATTTTAACAAATGCATCCTCTGCTCAAACTTCTGATTTTCACGTTCACACTAAAATAGTCCTGCAGTCATATGGAATATTATGTCAATCAGCAATTGGTCATTTATTTTTTTATACTTGAAACTCAATATTTGCAGGTTATCCAGTTACAGAAATGTTCAAAGGATTAATTATATTTTAAATTTCACAACCTGACCATTTAACTATATTATTCTTACCTTTTCCCTAGGCTGATGCTTCAACTAATGAAAATAGAAAATAGATTACTGAATATAAATGACTAAATTAAACTTGAGGTTACCTACCATGCCAGCTTTCTCTGCAATCATCTTTTTAGCATTTTCTATCTGTTCAGGCGTACCACGGATAATGAATGTTTTTTCACTAGGATTACTTGGGGGTCTCCGATCCAGTTCACAGTGAGCACCAGTCTGTTGGTTGATTGTTCTGATGGTTTCTCCTCCTGTAAAAAAACATGAAACAATAAGTTGTAATAGAACAAATAATTTAATATGGTTTTAGTTTCATTTACAATAATGTATACTTTCCCTACATGTAAATAATATAATACATACTTAGTATATGACAAGCAAGACCACAATTATGACCTTCCAATACAGTAATGCTTACCTTTACCAATAACAAGACCACATTTGTTGGCGGGAACATTAAAGAAGGCCTCTACTTTATCATTTGGTCCCCCACGACCACCGCCGCCGCCACCACCACCACCGCCGCCTCCACCGCCGCCACCACCCATTGGTCCTCCCATTGGTCCACCACGACCCACTGAAATAATTAGGGCATTTTATAATCAATCCCTCCAGTACCTTTTAACTAGCATGACCGTTTAGACATTTGTAGTCACAATTTTTATTAGATAGTATCACCTTTTCAGTAAAATTGTCATGTGAAAACCATTTGTTTCACTCATACACTAAATATCGTAATGTAGAGATTTTTACTATAGAAAACTTTAAATTCGATAATATAATTTTCTTGGCACATCAGCTCGGCTTGACTGGGACTACTGAGAAGTCCTAGGCTGCTAAAGTAACACCAAGCTCAATGAAACGCAATTTTATTTGGTTAATACACGAGTTTTGAATACTGTACTTTGAAATAAAAGGACCTATCAATAAAAAGAGGTTACACTGCATCTGAACTTTGCAAGTTTTCACAATGGCCAAAAATATTATTACTGCATACAGTAAACCAGGGTCTTGTGTAAATTTTGAAAATACAATCACTAAGATTGGTTCTGCCCCCATTGCTGTACACACACACACTTGCATATGTAAGTTTGTTGAATATGACCGAAAGGGTTAAATCTATGACTGTAATGCGAGAATTACTTAACCCTGCCTCGGATTAAAGTTACTTGACACATCCAGTCGATGGATCACATGAGAATTATGTTGTGAGAAAAACAGTGATGCAAAAAGAAGTTTGGACATGCTCGATTGTGGAAGTCATCAAGATGCAATGTCGAAGGGGCTGGTAGGTTTCGATGAATTTGGAGGAGAGTGATACTTGGAGTGACGGGGAATGTAGGTAGATTGGTGGCGGCAGTGGCATTGTGATATATATATATATATAGCACATGCCATTGTTATAAGGATGACATTACGCATTCTACATAAGTCAAACATTGTGACTACACTACACCCTGAAAAATCCAGATCTCTACATAGAATTATGTAAATCAGACCAAACTTGGCAACTACAGCACTCCTCCAAATTTCAGATGTCTTAAGTCTTCACTTTCCCAAATTGAGAGATCATAAAGCTAGCTTTAATTTAAAAGAAGAGAGATTGAGGGACCCATATCTCCTTAAACTGTTCAAACAGGGCCAATACAAAAAAAAAATAAATAAATCCTAATCATAAGAAATATTTTGGGGTTTAAGGAAAATTAAGGATCAATTTTGGAGGAAATTGTATCGATTTGTTTTTTAACTGGCTTGTTGTGCTAAATTTCGTTCAGTCAATGGTTGATTTTGGCTTGAAAGTGGTGCCAAAGTGTTATTCTGAAAAGTTATGAAACCATTGCTCTGTTTATTTACCTATTTAAGTGTTTAAATAATATAGAGCAATATATTTCATAGAAATTTATAAAAGCAAAATTTTTCATAGAATATCAAGAGCTGAAGAACGTTTTGGGCTTGGGAAAGTCAAGGGGCCTTGCTTATTTACACCATTTAGGAGTTGGGGCCCCGACTAGTTCCACTCGCATTCATTTGTATAAACTAATGCACATTATTGGTAGATACACATCTACAAATCACTGAAGTCTTAAGTCTGTCTTATTTGAATAATAAATTAATATTCACATAATAAAAAACAGGTTAGTTAGTCCTTAATATGTAGTAGCCATCAATTGTGAATCACCTGGACAACTACAAATATCATCCGATACTTTTAACTGCCTGGCATGTATATTAATATGATTATGTTAATATGAATAAAGTAACTTGTATAATTTAACTTGTAATTTAGCCAGTCAAGACAAAATCAAATTCTTGTTTTGTAATTGCTTACTAGACAAAGTTATACAGTACTGTACCATGAGGCCTGAAGTCAGTCAAATTATTTAGTTTTTGCTGCCTGTGTTCAAATCCATGCCCAGATGACATTCACTGATAAAATTGCAGCCAAGGAGTGCATTGCAACTTTGCAAGACACTTCCTTTGAGCTATCTTCCCAAGAGAGATTTACATACAATAGAGTTCCCATTACAAATGTATGCATAATTTATGGGGCATACAAAGTAAATTGAGTTAAAACACTACATTGTGTATAAAAGAGCAAGCGTAACTAGAGGAGTACTTGCCTGAAGGATCATGGACACATCATGGGAACAAAGTATCAATAGCTAATTTATTACACTACAAAAACTCTAAATGAGGAAACCAAACTAAGTTTGACCAGACCACACACTAGAAGGTGAAGGGACGACGACGACATTTCGGTCAGTCCTGGACCATTCTCAAGTCGATTGTGAATGGTCCAGGACGGACCGTAACGTCGTCGTCCCTTCACCACCTAGTGTGTGATCTGGTCAAACTACTTCAGCCACATTATTGTGACTGATCACCTGCAAACCAAACTAACCTTTATGGCACTGGTCAGGTGCATGCACATATTACAGGTGTTAGTGCATGCACTAACAGCTACTACTTACTCTTCATGTTTATTTCAATTTTTTTTTTTTCAATTTTGGTGATAGTTTATTCCCTACCAAACATTTAGTGTAAATTAAAATATTTGCTGAAAGTAATTTTGATTTATCATAAAATTGTGGCTTACAGCCCATATCTGATCTTGAATTTAAATATTTATTTTATAGATTAGTAATTGTCTTGGTATACATGCTTCAGTACACAGGTATACAAGGTTAAGCAATGATGGTTTCAGACAAGGTACTCTTACTAATTATGCTAGGAAATATCATGCCAAAACTAACATTTATAATATAATAAATATGCAAATTTCTTAATACTGTTTTGTTTACTTACTTGGGCCCCCAGGTCCTCCTGGGCCTCCCATACCACCAGGCCCACCCGGTCCCCCAGGTCCACCCGGCCCACCAAAGCCACCACGACCCATAGGACCACCTGGGGGACCACCAGGACCACCCCGACCCCAATCATTATTAAAGCCTCCACGGCCACCCCCACGACCGCCACCAAAGCGATCCTGTTGAGGGTCGAAGTCGTTAGAGTCCTGCAGATTTTAGAAATTACCAAGTTTCAGTTTGGTGAATAGGTTTATGTGACAAATCAACAAAAATAATTTTAACCTTAGATATAAATTGCTTACTTATATTCTACAAAAATATATGTTCAAACATAGTACTGTATAGTATTGTATATATGTATACAACTAAATACTGTAACTCAAGACTTAATAACTGTCACACGTTCCTCATTAAATGTAAATTTTATACAAGTATTATACAACTATATTTAAAGTATAAAAAAAAAAAAGTCTTATAAAGTATATGAATTTGTAATCCTAGTTTTAACCTATAATTATTTAACATTGAAATATAATCTAATAAGTCATGAATGATATAATTAAAATAGCAAGTTTCTGTCAGGAGACAAATATAAGAAAAAATAGTACAGTATAACAAATGGACAAAACACTCAAAATGCACAGCTAAAATTAATGCCAAATTAACTTTACATTTTTCAAAGCTTGACACACAAACTTACCCTTTCATCCCCTCCAAATTCATCTCTGTCTCTGTCACGGTCTCGTCGATCCCTATCACCTCTGTCTACTCTGTCTCTATCTCCTCTGCGTTCGCCAAAGTTGCCACCACGACCACGGCCACGATTACCAAACTGAGCAGCTTGAGTTTCTTTTTCTGCTATAAGATCATACACTAATTGTTTGGCCATTTCCACCTATGAAAATAAAAGAAAAAAATATTAATGCACAAATAATACTAAGATATAATTCAATTACATGAGGTGTAATTTAAGAAGTTTAAGCCCCCCTTCACAGAAGACGCATAGAGATAATGATGTAATAGGATTAGGTGATAAGATCAACAAATTGTCTAAATTCCCTGGGAATAAACTCCCATTGATAAACTCTTCATGGCCAAACTAGAAAACCTGAAACTTTTGCACTGATTCCCACAAAGCCTTTATTATTTTCTCCAAATCTATATGACTCATTTTTCATGAGGTTTTACCTTAAAAATTCTACAATGCAGGGCATGACTGGTCAAATTAAATCAATAGCAAAAGTGTTAAGGACAGCACACCTCCCGTGCTCAGGTTTGTCTTTCTCCTTGTCCATCCTCTATACATAATTTACTTGCACATAAATTGTGCCTAGTAAGCCACACACAACATGTTCAACAAATTGACCAAGCTAAAATGGTTATTGCCCCTCCAAAAAACAAGTATCATAACTTTGAAGCCATACAAAAAATGCATGCTCTACATAAAACACACACACACACACACACACACACACACACACGAAGCATTTTACCTTGTGAGGTTCTCCAGTGATGCGCAAAGGCTTTTCATTTTCTTGCTGTGGCCCATCTTGTATTATGACCATTTTTGCTCCAGATTTCTCCTGCAGTTGTTTGATGGTCTCTCCTCCTTTCCCTAAAAAAGAAGTTATTAGTGATAACAGTCATATCCATCACTAATGGCAAGAACCTTCCCATCACATTCACAATTTATAGCATACAATATGCCAATTTAGTTGAACACTTCAAAATTATTAAAAAAAATCTTTAATGCAAAACTAGGAAAGGAATTAAATCAATTCAATTCAAACTCACCAATAATAAGGCCAACCTTTGGCCCAGGAATGCTTATCTCAACAGTAGAAGCATTACCACCCATATCCATTCCAGGAGGTCCCATAGGACCGCCACCGCCGCCCCCACCACCACCGCCACCACCCATTCCTCCTCGACCTCGTCTATCGGGGGGCCCATCTCCTCGGGAAACTATTTCAAAAATCATTTCCTTTGCACGGTTGATAGCATCCCTAGAAAAAATAAACATTAAAACTAGATACCTTGTACCATAGATTTTCAAACAAACAAATATTTATGGCAATTCCCATAATACATTTATAAAATATTTAGGAACTGAAGTCTACACTTGATTCTCTATACATCACATACATACATACATACATTCATTCATTTACTTACAGGTACACACAAGAAAAGGAGCAAGAGGAAAATTAAAAGAAAAAGTCAAATGAAGTCAACAGCACCTATGAAGGCTCTGGCACAGAGCTGGCTTACTCTATTTTGATCATAGGACTGCAACAGTAAATAAGAACAGTATCACTAAACATACATTTTTATGTCAGGCCTCAGACAAGTTGATATAGTTAATAGCTCTTAACTCAAAAAGTCTCTTTTAGGAATACAGGTACTATTTCTAAAGAACCCTAGTCTTAGATTAAAAAAAAAAGGTGAAGAGGGGAGGGGAAAGTGACAGGAATGGAGAGGGGAGGGGAAAGTGACAGGAATGGAGAGGAGGGGATGACAGGAATAGAGGGAAATGGATTAGTAGTGCTTGATTGAAAGGGGAAGTGGAGAGGATCAGAGTAGTGTCGTAGGGGATAAAGGAAGGAGCAAGAGATAGCAAGAAAAATAAAGGTGTGAAAGAACAAATTAACCCTTAAAGTGCGGTTATCATATATTGACTTATATGATAAATCGTCTGCTTTAGTGTCTTCTTTTTATATGCATGATACTAATATGGATATAATTGCTCTATAAGGATATAGTGGAGTTTATCTGAACCTTGAAAGAAACTGCTATCGTTTCATAAATCCTTACTATGCAAATGTGGTAAACACAATAGAATTCAGTATAATTACATGGTTTGTATTTCGCTTATGCTCGTGTGGTTTTCACAACTCTATACCTGGAGCATATCTGGAAACGGTTTTGGGAGTTCTACTCCCCAAGCCCAGCCTAGGGCCAGGCATGACTTGTGACAACATGGTCCAATAGGCTGCTGCTTGGAGCGGCCTGTAGGTCCACAATCCACTATAGCCAGATTGGTCTGGCACTTCTTGCAAGAACGTATCCAAGTGCCTCTTGAATACATCCACCTTAGTTCTGGCAATATTTCTAATGTTTGCTGGTAGGGTGTTGAACAGTCATGAACCCCCGATGTTAAGACTGATCTCTGATTGTGCCTATGGCACCAACTCCTCACTGGTTCTATTCTGTATTTCCTTCTGTACTTTTCTCTCCAGTACGTTATTCTACTGTGCAAATTTGGGAGCTGGTCCTACAGTATCTTCCATGTATATATTACTTTATACCTTTCTCGTCTCCTTTCCAGTAAGTACATTTTGAGAGCTTGAGATGGTCCCAAAAACTTTTGATGTTTTATAGTTTCTATGTGTACTGTATATGCTTTATGTTTTCCCTCTAATTCAGAATTCTCTCCTGTCTGAAAGGGAAAGTGAATACTGAGCAATACTCAAGACAGGACAGCACCAGTGATTTAAATAGTATTAGCATTGCTGTGGGGTCCCAGGATTTGAACACTCATAATCCATCCTATTATTTTCCTGGCTGCCGCTATATTTGTTCAGTTGTGTTCACTAAATTTCAAGTTGTCAGACATCATATACCCAGGTCCTTTAAATGTTTTTTTTTCTTCTATGAGTAGGTTTGACCATGTCCTGTACCCTGTGTTTCGTGTAAGTTCCTAGTTTCCACCATACCTCAGTACCTGGAACTTATCATCGTTAAACAACATGTTATTTTCAGTTGCCCAATCAAACACTAGACCTGCCTGCAGTTTCAGCGTCTTCTACAGTGGCAATTTTCATGCTGATTTTTGTATCAACTGCAAAGGATGACATGAAGCTGTGACTAGTGTTTTTGTTTATACAAGAGATAATAATGAGAAATAGTAGTAGTGTGTTGACTATGCCCTGGAGTACAGAGCTTTTCACTGCGCATGGGTTCGACCTTACTTAACTGACCATCACACACTGCATTCTGTGCAACAGAAAATTGAAAATCCAACACCCCATTTTACCCATTATTCCTATTGATCTCATTTTATGGGCTATCATTCCATAGTCACATTTATCAAATGCCTTTGCAAAATATGTGTATATAATATTTGCATTTTGCTTTTCCTCTAAGACTTTTGTGATTGTCATTGGTCGAGTAATTGTGACAAGACAGGATATTCCCACCCTAAATCCATTTTGACCTGGGTTGTGAAGTCCATTATTTTCCATAAAACTGGAAATTTTATTCCTGATCACTTTTTCAAAAACTTTTATTATGTATGATGTTAGTGCAACTTTATAACTCTCAGCCAAAGCTTTATTACCCCCCTCTTGTACAGATCAGCTTTATCTGCTGATTTAAGGGCTGCTGGTACCTTACCTTGTGTAACGGCCAATCTAGCTGTTGGACACAGCAGCTCAGAGCCTGACATATTAACACTTTCGTGCGCGGTGCGGGTGCACCTCAGACTTCGACGTCATGCTCCCAGCCGTGCGGGCGAACGTGCGGCCACACCTAAATGTGTATACTCATTTCGGTTTTCTCACCTTAATTCTCGTGCTACGTCATTCGTTTTGGTATCATTGTGTTCGCAATAGAATTTCCAACAGGGGTATATGCATATAAGGTCCAACAGCCCGGTGTGACTCCCCCACAGTAAAGCTTAAAAGTCAGCAAAAGTTACCCGGGAATGCACAAAATCAGTAAAATGTGTATACTTGTTTCAGTTTTCTCACCTTAATTCTCGTGCTACATCGTTCATTTTGGTATCAATGTGTTCGCAATTGAATTCCCTACAGGAGCATATGCACATAACGTCCAAAACGGCGTGACTCCCCGCAGCAAGGGTTAAAGTCGGACAACCGTTAATCGTGAATGAGCACCAATTGGCACTCCGCAACCTAATGTGTATACTTGTTCAGTTTGATAATCAATTTGTTACGTCTTTCATTTTGATATCAAATTGTTCGCAATCTAAAGGCGCGCATTTAAAACTAGTCCCATAATAATGGCGTAATAAATGGAATTTTAACATTTTAAAATTTGGACCAGAAAAGTATTTATAATCTTTCAAGTGTTCTGACCTCAATTGTCAGACTACATCGTATCAAATTGTGCGCAATTTAAAGGCACTCATTTTGAAACCACTCCCAGATTGATCGGATAAAATTAAAATTTTTAATAACAGCCTGGCTGATCAGGCAAGTCTTGCCAGCACCCCATTCCCCCGACTCACCCGCCAACCCACCCATCCACCACCAACACCATCACCCACCCACTTCTGAAAATTTTGCCCACCCATTTTATAAAAATTATACATTGGAGGGCTAAACACATTATCCTTAAAAGTTAGTAATGTTCTCGCAATCTATGCTTTTAACAAAAAAATGTACAATGATAACAAATGTTATCACACAACTTAGTGAAAAAAAGTGATAAAAAAATCGTAGAAATATCCAATGCGAGTCTCGTCCAATGAGTCATCTGCCACATACTGCAATGTCTGCAAACCTCACCACCTAGTAAACTTTTACTGCTCATCAAACCAGTAAAAATGTTGATCATTACAATATATGTATCCTCACTTCCCCTTGCAATTTGAGTCCAAATTAATAAGTCTTATAAAGTTAATTTATTTTTTCTAATCTTTTTGGATTTTTCTGCACATAGATGGACGTGTGTATATATATATTGATAGCCACTACATTGTACATATAATGTAAATATAGTGTATATAATTATATAATGAAGATAGCCGCACTTCAGGGGTCAAGAGAAAAATAAAATTAAAATTTGAGCCATTGCACAGTTGCCCAGATCTCGCAAACACCCGCAAATTTTAGAGAATATAAAAAAATCCTAATTCTGGTAAAATATTATGGGGGGGGCTACATTGCCCTATTTCAATAGCACAATACCAGTCATACTATTTTGCTCAAGCTTAACAATTTTCTTAATACAATACAATGTGCCATGATAAAAACAATACATACTGTATACAAAAAGGACATTTTCAAATAATGAATGACTGATATATAATAATGTTATGGGTCATATTTTCAAATTTTAATAAAAGCTCTTTAACAATTGCTACACAAACCCAGAATCACCCCAGTTACATATTATTGAACACTATAGTTATCAGTTAAAAATAGCCAATTCATCATGAAAGTTTGCTACTGTGTACTGTACATAGAACTTTTTTTTATATACTGCACATGCAAGCTGCTATCATGACTCAATAGGATAACTTGGGTTAGACCCCTCTGGAAGATGCTTTAAAGATTAATGGGGTGTCTGATCAAAGCCCAACCATAGGTAAGAAGCCTTGTACCTCTTTATGCTAAACTCAGCCCGAGGGTGTGTCTTGCAACAGGCACAATGATCGATAGCGTTCCGATGTCACTGGGTCTTGCCTTCCGAATCAACCTGGAGAAGGGATTCAGTTTGTGGCAGGTTCGGCATCAAATTTTGTTGATGTAGCTAGTGGAATCAGTAGTGACAGATCACAAGATAATTGTTCAGGATAATCAAGGTTGACAAAGGTTTGAGGTTATGGTAATTAATAGGTTCATTTACACTACCTAATTGCATTTAAATAAAATGGGGTTTGGTTTATCTTTACTATATTGCCGAGAACAGTTTACTTGGTTACGGGTTTCACGGAGAAACACAAGGCTTAACAAGGACAGCAATCAGCTTAATAGTACTTAACCGACACTTCGCAAAATGCTGTCTAGTAACACCACAAAAACTGATGGGGAAAATACGTGGGTTCCTTATATCACTAGGAATCCAGGAATGAATCAATAAACGGTACATGCAAAATAATGTAGATTCTCGAAGCCCAGTGTCTGAAACTAAATCACACATGGAATTGAATATGCCAAAAAGTTTACCTAGATGTTTTCCACATGCAGTAGTTGACAAAGTGAATGTAGCATACAAGTCATTAACAAAAAGTTGCCTTGCTATATATTCTTTTATGTGGCAGTACGGAAGAATAGCCATTGATTCCGGTGCTGTTGGTAACTTTTAGAATTACTGTGGGGTAGCTAAGTGCAATATGCAAGATATGACAAGAAACCCTGCCCTATAGAACAAGAGGATCAACCTCCTTTGCCTAGCGATTGTTGGAAGGCTTTCCCTCCCAAGCACTGTAGACTGGCACTATTCTAGGTGTTTCCACAGGTAATCTGAGAACCAATCAAATAGGATTTTTCAGAAATAAGCCATTCCTATTATGTTTGGCACCTCAGTCAAGGCCTTTGATCTGGCACTATTTTCACTTGGATGTGTGAAGCCAAGGGGTATACCACTAGCAGTTCCACTTCTTGCTTGCTCCTCAAGCAAGCTGCAGATGATCTTGTTATCACCAGAGCTCATCAGACATGACAAGCATCAACATAACTTATTAATATGAAGGGCTACCTACCATTAAGAAGACCACCTTCAACGATCAATTCCAACTGAGATGATTATAATGAAATTTTCATTTACATACACACGCACACATTCGCAGAGACAGGACGTGGAGATAATCTATTACAGTTTAAACTTGTTTATACTTGGTTGTCATAATACAAATTTCTTTACTCATGAACTGTATTGCTCCTTAATTTAATCAATTTGACTACTTAAAAAAAAAAAAATAATTATACACATATGCCGGAAAGATATGAGACTTACCTTGGTCCTGAAATAGTACACAGCCTGTCGGGCAATCCTCCACTATCTTGAGCCATTTGAATTTTTGCACCAGATTCCCGCTGCAACCGTGTTATCTGTTCACCGCCACGTCCAATAACTGCAGAGGACATAAAATGATAAATCAAGGATGGGTTCACAAAATCCCATAAAAATGTCAAAATGCACCTTTACATCACTACTAATGCAAGTTCAATTTCAAACCTATCTATTGTAAATTGTACAATTAAATGCATAATTGTTTTTGTGATCGTCGTTGCACACACACACACACATATATATATATATATATATATATATATATATATATATATATATATATATATATATATATATATATATATATATATATATATATATATATATATATATATATATATATATATATATATATGTATATATGTATATATGATATATATATCAGTGGAATCTTAGTACTCGAACAACCCCCCCCCACACAAACAATTCAGCACTTGAATGCTGTGTTCATGTTTGGTAGTCGACCTGTTGTCTGGCCCTCAAATGTAAACATACATCCGAGATGAGTCAGTTTCCCAGTAGCTGTCGTTAAGTGCACACCACCACTAGACTTCTCTAAACTTTCTTGTATTTTCTTGGATATTTTTGACATTCTTAGTGTAAATAAGTCACCATGGGACCTAAGAAAGTTTGTGAAAGTTAGTGATATGAACCAAGAAAAAAATGAAAATTAGTTAAAACCACAATTGAGATGAAAAAAACTCAAAGCAAAATATGAAAGTGGTGCCTGCATGTCTGCTCTTGCTACCAAGTTTAATACTGTGTATGCCTAAATCAAGTTATCTAATAAAAGAAATGTGTGCAAAAGGGGAAAAGTACAAAGTTTTCTTTAAAAACATCACTCTGACAAAGCTGTTATAATGGGACCACCACCACTTCCCCCACCGCCTCCGCCGCCACCTCCGCTACCACCAGGGGGTCTCTTGGCATCAGGACCTGAAGATAAAAATTAACAAAAATTGTATCGTACTCTAGCTAGACTTAATTTAGTCTGTTTGCAATCTGTTAGAAATCTGAAAATTCACCTCCCTATTTTTTGTTACTCCCTTAGATTTAATTTTATGGACTAATACTCCATAATCATATTCATCAAATGTCGTCACAAAATTTGTGTCCTTGACATTTGCATTTTGAATTGCATCTAATGCCTCAGCAATGTTATGACTAAGGAGTTGCAAAATACAAGATATTCCTTTTCTTCCTTTTTGGATGTTTCAGTTTCTCTACCCTGACTTTTCGCCTCAGGTTTACTTTCCTTTAGTCTTCTACAGACTCTTGCCAAGGTAGACATATTTCTCCTCTCTCATACATATATTTTATATATGCTTCTGAACTTAATGTCTAGGCATTGTGTTTGTGTTTGAGGATTTAGTGCCACCTCCCATGCACTGAATTTGTAATCAAAACTTACATGTCTATGTAGTTAATCTAGTATGGGTTTGTGAACGCTCCAACTAAGGAATTAACCCAGTAACTGATCTAAAAAATACATGTCCAACTAAAATAATTCGACACTTCAGAATCTGGAAACTAGTATACTGTATACAATGAGCATGCTTATGACAGTCATTGGAAAACAAATTCAAAGCTTAATATAAGCACCACGTGCCATTTCACTAATTAGGTTCAAATACATAATAGATAAAACTTTGTGTAACATCCCCATTGTGAATATACCTGGTAAACGATCCATGCCGCCTTCTGCCTCGTCGAGGGGACGCTTTTGACCGGACGGTTGGATCTTAGCAGCGATCTGAAAATAACACAAGTAATATTGTGAAAATTAACCGAATAGTGAAAATTGTGTTTGAATGTATATTTGTGCCAAATATATAATGTCCCATACAAAGCAAGGAGAAGCACAATTCCACTCATGCATACAACATGCATGCACATTTGAATACAAAAATTTCTTGAAGCTGACAACAGCATCTTAACATCACAATTTTAAAACCCACACCCAATATGCTCCAGGTATTAGTTTAATACATGTTCTTTTACATGTCTTGTAGGATGATGGTAGACTTATCTTCAGCAGTCGTGCAATTAATGTTGAATTCTCAGAAGTTTTAGGATTGCCATTACAAAATTAAAGCCAACAAATTTGTTAGCCCATAAATGATAAAAAATGATAAATAATGTATATACATTATTAACTAATTTCTCACTTCCATTGGGCGGGGAGGTGTCAGCCCAGAAAAATGAGCAATATAACCATTTTATACAGTACTTACTACAGTATATAAATTAATATAACATTCAACCACTTATTATACAATTCACAAGCAATATTTAGCATGACATAATCAAGCATTACAAAACATCAGAAGTCATCCACAGAAGCACCTCAGAGCTCGGGCGCATCCGATCCCTTGATCGTCATCAACCACCTCAGAGCTTCACAAGATCAGATGTAGTGTGCTCATGATCTATCACATACTGTATGTTACATACAGTTATGAAAGAAAAATGTAAATAGCTAATCTACTTTCATATTATAAAACATAACAGAAACATGGAACTCCTTTATCTTCATTTTAAATAATGCCTACCTTTTTTCAAAAAACTAAAGCAGATATTCTGAAATCTAAATGTACAAAATACACAAAATCGAGAGCTATTTTATATAAATGCTTTCCCATTGTCAGGGGCAGGGAGCCCATTATGCTCACAGATCACCCTAGACCAACGACTGACCTAACTCCTAGGTACAGTACCTATTTACTGCCAGGTGAAGAGGCATCAGGTGTAAGGAACCATGCCCAAACATCTCATCCTGCCTGTGAATCGAGCCCAGGACCATTCGGCTGCGAGCCGACTATAAAATACACAGTACATATTTAGAAATATGGTATGTACAGTAGGCTATATACAGTAGCTACCCACATTAAAATGTTTCGCTATTCTTATACATGTCGCATTCACGTGTTTACTCAATACAATGGTGGTTTGTTTCTGCCTACACTGTCCTTTACCTTTTGTAACCACTTAGCAGGATATTTCACTAACAGTGGGCCTACAAGTAGACAAAATATACCTTTGAGAATCAAAATGATATCATATAGTGGAACTGGTAACAGTACTGCAACTGGTAATTGAGTAACTACAAAAACAATATCAATCATCAAAATCATGACCAACTGAAGGAAAAAGCTATACAAAAAGCATACATCTGTTTCTGAGCCAACACCAACTAAATACTGCATATTACAATATTTAGCACATTGAATGCCATACATAACACATGAATAACGTGTACAGTAGTTTAACATTAAGACGCATACAATACAGTACTGTACTGTGTTATAATTAGTGTACACAAATCAAACTTACTTACTTTGTATGATTACACAAATCATACTTTGTGCTACAAACATGCAGGTGAAATAGCATTTCACACCCAATGATGCCACGAGGTAAATCCACTTTTTCTTATAATGGAAAGGTGGATATATCTATAAGCCCTAAAAATTTACTATAGTACATTTGGGTTGTAAAGCCAGTATGGTTCATAAAAGGGGCCAACCTTCAAGATATGTACTGACATAAGCATTGCTTTTGTTTGGGATTGTCTTTTTTTTATCATTCATGTATGAACCTTTTTAGTAGTGGTTCAATGGCAATGTCTTATTTTGCTTTTACATACAGTATGTGTAAAAGTATTTTGGATTTCTATCTCACAGAAAGCTCATCACAAAGTTATTTTTGCATTTCTCATCTAAAATGTATGCTATAGCTTTTGCCCTTTCTGAAATCTAAGTAGATTAATTTAACGTTGTTGGGATATATGCTTTTTCTCAAGCACTTTATTATTTTTCCATCTTGTATTGTCATCAGTGTACTCTTTCCTTCTCATAACTTGATCGATCTTCCAAAAGTGAACATTTTGTTTGACTTTGGTGTACCTCGATGTTCAATTTTCCATGGGGAATTTTGGGCAGACCACTCAAAAAATTTGCTAGTTCTGTATACAGAACATTTCAAGTCTAGAATTGTTTGAATTAATTTAAAACTTTTTTCTCACATTATATTTCAGTGCATTACATGTATTAGTTTTCTTACACAGTACAGTACTTAAAATGACTGAGGTACAGTATACAATGAAATTTTTAAGTGAAAAACCGAAAGATTGAGTCTACCGATATGTTTTGGCCTCCAACAAAAGACTGATATCCTAGTAAAGATTGCAAGTGAATTTTTTAATACAACAGAAAGCCATGAAAATTGGCAGATACAGTGAGAAAGTTGTGATTGAATTGAAACACATGGGACAAGATAGGGCAGTTTGCAAAAAGGGAGAGAGTTTTTGTGTGGTATGACAACTCATGAGAAACAATGTATACCAGCCAGATAAAGCAATGGGGTGCTGCTCAAAATGTGCTGGAATGTGGGGCCTCACTATTTTTGCACACTATATAGTGTGAACAAAAGCCTATGGTAAATACATGGTTTTTTGTTAGTATCTCTTGTACTGTTGCCCTTCTTCCTTTTGTTAATATCGGGTATGATCAAATACTGTAGTACAGAACACTATTCGACAATGCTCATTTTCCATTTGTTGAAACCGTATATAGTTACGTTAGGATGTACATATTAGCTTAGGTAAGGATGCATTAGAAAGTGTTAGACTCAGATTAGGTTGGTTTGGGTAAGTTGGATAAGGTTTACCAGGTTTTAAAATCCAGTGCCAAACTATCTTGGGTATCTTATCATGTGTTATCTGTCAATACCTCCGCCACCCTCCACAAATTAGAAACTGGGGAGCAGTAGTAATTATAAACTATAAAAGTAGCCGGTGCATTAATGAACGATATAGGTAGGGTCTATTAGGAGAAAACGCCTAGCCATTGCAACTATATAGCACTGGGAAGGGATCAGAATAAGAATTAGGGATGGGATGAAGGGAAGGAATTGTGCCCAACCACTTGGACGGTCGGGGATTGAATGTCGACCTGCATGAAGCTAGACCATCGCTCTGGCAGTTTAAACCTCCACAATGATATAGGTAATTACAGATTTATTACAATTGACAAAATTGGGCACAGTTCTCCTGTTTAGCCTTAATTATCCATCATCCAGAGTGGTGATAGTAAACCGGGTGCTTTTTATAAGTCATATTGCCTGGTTTGGCAAACCTTTGGCAAAGGTAGACTGGTGCAAGTTAGGAACTCATTTGAAATAAGGAAAATTCACTGATCTTCCAGATTAAATATTAAGGCAAAGTCTTAGTCCAAGGTTACTAACAAAAACGAGACCAAGATGGTAACGTTAAACAGTATTCTTTTCATTTTTGAAGTTAAAAAAATTAAAATTCAATGTAAAGTGTTAGTTAATTATTACACAGCCAAGTTTTATAGTTTAGTCAGAGCTAATGAATGGTATGTGATTATGTTAGGCAGCCTTATTTCCAGTAGCAAAGAGTACTGTGGCTGGTAGCATTATACTATCACAATATACGTTTCGTACATATTTTTTTTCTATTTATATATATTTTTTTTTTGGGGGGGGGAGATACTAATCCATAGGTTTGGTGTGGGATAACGTAACGTTATCTGGGATACAGTCAAATCGTACACATGGATTTTGACAAAGCCTAGTTACCAAGTGATGAAAACCATATACTGTATATTGTATTAGGTTACGCTGGATTAGATAAGTTAAAACTCGGACTGCAATGGGTTGGGTTGGATTTGTACTGGCTTTCTTTAAAATGCCATCGGCAACCTGTCTTGGGTACGAAGTGACCTACGTCCATGCGATCATATATCCAATGAACGCAACATCCCAGTTACAAATTAAATAGCCAAAAAATACTACCAATAGCCTGGAGCTCGGAACGGAACACGAAGCAGGCAGAGGAACAACCTTCCACTCATGGCACAAACAAGAAATAGTATAAAAAAAAAAAAAAAAAAAAAAGACCAAATAAAACTAATCAGATATATATAATACTTGCACCAAACTGCAATAAAAACAAGCCAAAGCTACAAATAATAATAATAAAAAATGCAAGCACCACCCACCCCCTCTAGACCTCTCAAAGGGGAAAATAGCAATGCCGCTAAGCCAGCCCCAGAGAGCGCCTAGGATCCCCGCCCCCCCAAGCCACCTAACAAGCCATGGGTGGAGAGGTGGATGATGAGTGCCGGCGTGGGAGAGGGAAGGAGAGGGAGAGGGAGGGAGAGAGGGGGCAGAGGCCGGGGGAGAGAGAAGCCGCCACGCGGGGCCGCCATTACCACACCGGCTACGTGTTTACAGCCCAGTGACGTCACGCCCCACACTTTACAATCTCTCTCCTCTCCTCCCCACGCCGCTTCTCTCCGCCCTCCGCCCCGCCACCACGCCCAACACACCCTCTTCCTCCTACTTACGCACGCCCCGTGCCTCAAACTCCAAGCTATAGCTTGGAAAATCGATGAAATTCCGCCACAACGGCGAACATTGTCATTTTCAAGTTGGGGAGGGGGGGGCCATACACACTTTAGCAAACATGCTTCTTTCCCACCGCTTCTCCACACCTTTTATACCCAACATGCCCTCACAACATTGTTGGAGAGAGCAAATTTATAATAAATACCTGTCTGGCACGCTGTACTGCGTCGGCAAAAGCGGAACTTTGGGCAAAATTACTTGTATTAGGTCCTGCTGCTGCTGCCATCATGGCCGACGGCGCTTGCCTGTAACTACTGCGGGTAAATCCTTAGTGTTTTGAAACGAAAAACGCTTCCCAGATCATTTACGGTTTTACTCAAGTGATTTTGGTTATTAAAGGTAAATTTTAATTACAAACATTTTGTGAATCTTGTTCTAAAATAATATTTGGGTTTCTATCAGATTATAAAGAAAGAGGTTTGTACATTATTTGATAATAAGACGTTCCAGTATGGTTTCAGTGGGACAGAGAAAACGGCACAAATTTGTGGTAAACTATTGCTAGAAATTCTGTCTATGCTTACCTGCTGATTTTTCTTATAACTTGCAGACGAGGAGTCACACTAACGTGGCTGAAATATGTAGACCAAATCACACATTAGAAAGTGAAAGGATGACGACGTTTCGGTCCGTTGTGGACCAATCTTAAGTCGATTGTGATGAGGGAAGGAGGCGAAGGCATAGATAGGCAAGAGTGAAGTGAGGAGAAGGAAATCTTAGAGCAAGAAAAAGCAAGGCAAAAGATACGAAAGGTAAGTTGTAATAAATGGGATACTAATAGGAATAATAAAGGCCTAGTAATAGGAATAAGAAAGGGATAGCAATAGTAAAAGTATTGGAGAGGACAAGACGAACAGGAAGTAGACACCAGCAGCATTAGAAGCAGGAGGAGCAGTGTGAACTAGATTGCTACGAAGTGTGTTAGTTTGTCGAAAGGCGAGCTTTATGTCAAGAGGACGAAAGGTATTAGTAAAAGTTTTGAGTTCAGATATGAAGGGAAGGCAGAGCACAGTGCTATTAGTGTTGAAAGCAGATTTAGGATGAAAGAAATTTCATTTAGCTTGAGAATATGCACAGTTGATAAAATGCAAAGGGTAACCAAGGCGAAACGTCGTCATCCTTTCTTATAACTTATTAATTATCAGCGGTAGCTAGCAAAACAATACATGTAAGCTTAAATATACTTTATGGGAAATTTTAGAAGGCAATATAACGTCTGATTTGCTAACATATGTCTTATTTATCATGATTAACTTTTTTTCACTACCAATGTGAGCAAGACGTAACTGATGACATTTTCATTATAAGATTAATATAAATTAACATGTGTCATTAATGCTCAATTTAAAATGAGTTGGAAACTAATTCACTCTTGCAATGCAACCATTCAGTTATAACATAATAACCTAATCAAACTGCGTTAAAATTAAAATTGAATTAATAATGCAATAGTAATAATAGTATTAATAATGTAATAATAATTAAAAGACTAAGCAGAGTTGTTCCGGTAATATATTCTAAAACGCATCTACAGAATATAATTTCCTCAAAGGGAAATTTTTTCTTGTGCTATTAGAGACTTGAAAGTCAGAACAAATGGCATTATGAGTAAATTTGGTCATCTAGTTATCTAGCCTAAAGTAAAGTTATTTAATTGTCAATGTTTAAGCTTGAATGCTTATAATAAATAACATTGAAAAGGTTAATTATGAATGGAGGAAATGTTCAAAACGATTCTTGGAAGTTTAAGAAATTTCTTTAAGAAATAATTCACACACTAATGTCTTTTGTCTGAAGGGATTTACATTAAGACTCACTCATCCAGCAAACACATCCAATCTTTCTTCCAGGCACCCACGTGTCATTCGCCACTCCAACTTCTTCAGAAATATCATCTTAATTGTTAGGAAATACATCTTTTAAGTGTTAGTTTAGTTCATTTATGATGCACCCCATACCCATCCTGTGGGTGGTAGTGGAAAAGGTTACAGAAGAACATGATGGCCCAGAATTCCTTTAGCTAAGAAAATTAGTCTTGAAAAGCAAATTTAATAAAATAATGAGAATATTGCTCTTCTCAAAGCTGTCACACTCGAAACAATTGCCTCCTCCATCGAGAATTTAAGATCTCATGAGCACTGTGTCTACACCGACGGCTCAGTCCAATCTTCTACTGGACGGACTGCAGCAGCATGTAGGTTTTATAGAAATAATATTTGCACAAAGACTGTCAGTGTCAGGTTAAACAACTGGCTGACCTCCACACAAGCTTAACTAGCAGCATTACAAATAGCTACCAGTACATTAAACAACATTGGAGAAGGAATAATATTTTGTGATTCAAAGTCTGCTCTTCAAGCAATCGAAAACTTCTCCTGGAAGATCGACAGCAAGAACCTCATACTACCAATTATAAATGATCTAATTGCTGCACAGAGTAAAGGGTCTCGAATCTCCTTTATATGGATACCTTCACACATAAATATAACCCATCACAATGAGACAGACATTGCAGCCAAATTAGCGTGCAACAAAGATGAAGATGAATTAGATCTAGGTATCCCCATCTCTACTGTCAAAACTGTATTGGTCCAAACACTCAGGTCTGATAGGAAAGAAATTACTGACTCCCAACGACCTGAAAGTACTAGTATTAAAAGCTATGATTTGTTCAGACCTGAAACCTATATCTATTGGCAGCACAAAACGTCCACCAGACTGTGCGACACGGTGGTTGCACAGTCGGCAAGGATCAGGTTGGGTTATTACTAGGAACAAAAAGTTCCAAGTAGCACGGGCTATGGTGAGCCCGTAGTGGACTTACCTGGCACAGGAGCAGGACTGTAACTGAATGCGTCCAAAGCCTTGAGAGCTCTCAGCTTCTCTGTATTCCAACGACAGTCTGATTACAAGACCATACACTCGGAACTCAAGGCCAAGGTAGAATCTGTTCACGTAGTCAAGCTGGGAGCCATTGTATAGTTTCTCCTCCGTGGCTGCAGACGCCGATTTAGTATCTATACTTTCTCTGCTGAGATAATTAAGCCTATGTCCTGATATGAGTCTGATACAGAGTTAAGACTGGCTTGAGTGTTATCATTATATCATCAGCATAGCTAATAATGATATAATGGATTTACTAGGCACAGAACTAGGTTACTGTGTCAACAAAATTATTCGCACACCCTCCGCCACTATGTGATAGAGTGCGAAAAGATGCGTGAATTCAGAGACAATTATATAACAAATGTTCCAAAGATGTGTAAATATTTCATTCAAAATGAGCTGCTACCAGAAATTTTAGCCAAATATCCCCAGTTTGCTAACTGTAGGTAGTAATTAAGTGACTGTAACCTATCCACCGCTGTCCACTGGATGGGGGGCGGTGTGCAATAGAAATAGCCTAAGCTACTCTATCCCTTTGAGATGTATTTATTGCTTATCTCAATAAACATACTTGAACTTGAACTTGGGGCGGTGTGCAGGGCAAACCTATAAATTATGACACTACCTCTCCACATATGTCAGTTGCTTAATTTAGAAACTGTACTTCTGGTCGATCTCGAACTCATTGATGATTTGACGACGTATATTGAATTTTGTAACTAGCTCATCAAGATTGTAACTTGCTTAGCTAAATGAATTGTGGGGTTCAGTCCCCTAGCCCATTATGTGCCTCTGTAACCCTATCCAGTACCGCCCAGAAGATGGGTATGGGATGCATAATAAATAAACTAAACTAACTAACTAGGCAAAGAGTTTTGTATGGGATTTATTAAAATATTTTACCCTCAAATAGGACTGAAGGCACATCCCTGTCATGTCCCTAGTTCAAAGTCTCTTGTTACATTCCTATGTCCCTGGAACAATACTTGGATAAGTAACCTCTGATCCAACAAAGAAGCCGAGCACCTATATTCATTCTAGTACGATCACTCAACGTGACATGTTGGTCTGCAATATTAAAGTCTGACTTTATTTAGGAAGGTAGTAGTGTATATGACTTTTCAGTGTGCAGGGTAAGAAAGGTGGTAATGTAATGATGCCCATTCCTTCCATGCATGAAGGATAGTATGGTGGATGCGATGGTTTAGGATCCCTGGAATGTTTTGCGACAACAACTAGTAAGGGAAATTGGGCGGAAAGCATTTTCTTGATCAGGCTTGGGAATTGGAATGATGATACTGTTGATCCATGAGATAGGAAACTCCCCAGAAATATAGCTCATATTATATAGATCACGCATGAGATTTCCTGGTACTAAAGGAAGCAAACGCAATATGTCATAAGTAATACCATCCTCACCAAGGGATGTGGATTTACCTTTGTTCAGAGACGAGAGTAACTCAGGGTCAGTAAATAGCATGTTGAATTTATCTTCCTTGTGGAGCACGAAGTCAACGAGCATTAACTCTAGAATTAACTCTTAAATTGTTCTGAGGGAAGATTATTATAGGATTATTAGATTGGCAATAGGCAGTGCTCGGGTCTCTCTCTCTCTCTCTCTCTTTGTATGTTGATACAGATTTTGATGACTGTTGCTTCTACTCTCTCCACATAACTTGTTATATAAACTCTTTTGAAAGTGTAAACATTTTTTGCACGTCGCAGCATAAAAAAAAATCTGATGTTATATTCCTGGTCGAGATAGTATAGCTTTCTCAATACTCTTTTATACTCCTAGTCATAAACAAATCTTTAATTCAGTAACGAATAAGGCCATATGGTCCTCGGTGTTTTATTTAGAGTATCTATGTTTCAAAGTTGCTAGTGGGAGGGAGGCCACGTGGCCGACAATGAGAACCATCTCTTTCGAACAAACTATTTTGTGATAAATTAGCTTTGAAGTAGTCAGTTTACATGTCGCTTGGATACTAAAACATTCATGACACTTTTTCCGAGCCATTGTGTTAATAACTGACAAACTTTCATAATTTTTCCTACATCGATCTATAACTGACAAAACATATATATATTTCTGAGCTATCCTCTTCTTCAAATTTTTTATTAGGGTTGCCACAATTATCTCCTGAACTTATTTTACTACAGACAATTTCGTTCCTAAAGTTGCGATTAATATTTGTACTAGCATGATGGCGATATATATTCAGTGGTATGTTCAACACACTGGGAGTGCATGCAAATTAGGCTGCGGGTGAGTGGTGGGTAAGCTGTGAAGAGTCAGGGTGAGAAATCTATTTAATTTTAGGCTACATTTGGATGGTGCATGATTGATGCCTTGCGTAACTTGTTCCCAGTGCTAGTTATGCAGTTGTGGACATCAGTTACTACATAATTCTGGGGGCCCAAGTACAGCTGCATCTTCACAGCATCTAGTATTAAATGCGGTACACACTATAAGACCACTCACGGGAGACATCTCCCGTCGCGTAGGGTGCAGTTGCACCTCCACAGATCTCCAGTATCAGCTCTCGATACTGGTAATGGCTCAAAACGGCCACCACTTACGGGCTATTCATGCCCGTGCCACCTTTCGGGTGGCTTAATATTCATCAATCATCAATCAATAAGAACACTTTATAATCAATTTCTAGAAGCATACGTAAGGAGTTGACGTGGGATAAGAATAACATAACTCATAGCTTGTAGGCTAAATATATAAGTATTGTACTGTTGCTCTGTAGAAACGTATTAATCGATATAAAAAAAATTATTTTCATGTGTTAATTACGGAAGGGCGTACCACCTCTGGCTGGAAGAAGGGGGGACCCTTAGCCTCGGAGGAAACCACACATAACGCATTAGAGGGAATGTTGGTTAAATTGGAAGTTAAATTGGTTAAATTGCATTAGAGGTTGAATGGTTGGTTAAATTGGTTAATTTATATATTTTTTCAAGGGCTATTTTTTATTCATTGTTTCTTGTGGAGTGTTAGTACATGGACAGATATTTTC